TATGGTCACGTAATCATGGCAACCTTGACGTACCCATTCTAAAAACAGACCAGACACTACAGGAGCGCGTGGATTACGGCGACGAAGCGTTTTGTACGCGTCCCACACGGGGAAACAGCATTACAACTGCATTTCTTTTGCAAGATAAATAAATAAATAAAATAAACAGAGCAGCCAGCACACACCAGAGTGTGTTCACCAAGCGCGTGCGCTCCGCTTGATGAGCGTGGGTTTATTATAGTCCAAGAACGCGCGAGACCATGGAGAGTTTGGAGAGGCAGCTGATATGCCCTATTTGCCTTGAGATCTTCACCAAACCGGTGGTGATCTTACCGTGCCAGCACAACCTCTGCCGCAAATGTGCCAATGACATCTTTCAGGTACCGCCAATGTTCGCAAAACTTAAAGTTAACTATTTTTTTGGAACATGGTATTTCATAACACAAAACATTTTAGCAAACATCTTGACAAGCTGGTATGAACAGTTAAGAATATTACTGGTTCAGGATTGTCTAGTGCTTGGAACAATCAGTTTAGACTAGCTAATGCTTTCTAAAATGTTCCAAAAGTAGCAGTTTAAGCTTGATTTTCCAGTGGTGATTTTAAAATCAGCAGCTGTACTGCTGTATAATGATGACAACTTCTTATATATAATACATATTTGTGTGTGTCAAATTGGAGAAGTTGGTCAAGTTATGGGTGGATTTCATTCTTCCACTGAGACCAAACGTAATATAGACCTAGTATATTACATTCCCTTGCCAGGACAATTTTTAAAGTGCTTTTGTGTGTTTTAGGCCTCAAACCCCTACTTGCCCACACGAGGAGGTTCTTCATTGGGCTCTGGCGGCCGGTTCCGCTGCCCATCCTGTAGGCATGAAGTGGTTCTGGATAGACATGGGGTGTATGGCCTGCAGAGGAACCTGCTGGTGGAGAACATCATAGATATGTACAAACAGGAATCCAGCAGGTACTATAACTAAACCTTCCAGCTTCATATTCTCCTCTCCAATCATTTATGCTGTATAATAATTTGGAATCCTATTGAACCCATACTTTCCTCCCATTCTATTCTATTCTATTTCTATCTTTGATTTCAGCACGTTGTCAGTTTGTGTGTGTGTTGGGCTATATTTATAAAGTAGGCCAATGTGACAGGAGCTATTTCAGAGACACTTTCTGTGTTTATCAGTTGCCCTAACACACACACACACACATATACACACATTTGGAAACATATCAATATGAACAACAGCAGTTCCCCCCCCCCCCCCCCCCCCCCCTCTTTTTTTGAAGATTCATATTCTATACTCTATATACTTTTTAAGATCTAGTAGGTCTAAATAAAGGTAATTTATTTAAAATCTCTCTGTCAGCAGCAGTAAGCCTGAACCAGAACTGAAGAACGATGTGTTGCTGTGTGAGGAGCATCAGGATGAGAAGATTAATATATATTGTGTGACATGCTCCGTTCCCACATGTTCACTATGTAAAGTGTTTGGGAGTCATCAGTCCTGTGAAGTTGCTCCACTCAAATCTGTCTACGAAACCCAGAAAGTGAGACTGCTTTAAATCTATGTTTCTGCTTTCCTCTCCCTGCACCTCTGTGTTTAATCATCATGAGGATTGATCAGTTTATATTTATGTGATTGTTTGTGCAGACCGAGTTGTCTGATGGCGTTGCTGTGTTGGTTGGCAACAATGACAGAATTCAGGGCATCATCAGTCAGCTGGAGGAAAGCTGCAGAGCTGTGGAGGTCAGTATGTGTTATCAGCAGGAATGACTGTTTCAGTTATTTCTTACATTACAGTCCAAGTAATGATATCAGTGCATGTGTGATTGTGTGTAGGAGAATGGTCGAAGGCAGAAGTCTCGTGTATGTGAGTGGTTTGATCGTCTGTATGCTCTTCTGGAAGAGCGCAGAGGAGAACTTACACTGAAGATCACCGCAGAACAGCAGGAGAAACTTGACTACATCGGTGGCCTACAGCGCAAGTACATGCACATACACAAAAATGCACACTATATACAAAATAAAAAAGTATTTCTACAGTATTTGTCTGATGAAAAAAAATTTAATATACTTCATATATATATATATATATATATATATATATATATGATAAATGTTAATCAAATCTTATTTTATTTAATCTATCTGCACTCAAAGTTTTGTCCTTTACAGCAAGTTTTCTCTGTTTCCATAAGTATGTTTAGGCAGGTGTATGTTTACACACTTTGCTAATCACAGCAATCACCTATGCAGGTACAGAGATCACCTGGATAACACAGCCAAACTAGTGGAGACAGGAATTCAGACGATGGAGGAATCTGAGATGGCAATCTTTCTGCAGGTCTGCCAAGTTTTTTTTTTTATTATTGTAGTCTTGCATGCTTTTCTTTAGCAGAAACACTTAAAGTAATATATGTTACGTATTAGAAAAGACAGCATGTTTTTCCTAAGCAATGCGATACTATGTTTTTAATCTACGTGTCTCTCTAACAGAACACGAAGCCTCTACAACAAAAGTAAGATTCAAATAATTATTTTACTGAATATAACTTGTTGACTTCTCAATTATGCCATCTTATTCATTCTGTCTTCATCTCAGGATAGCAGAAGGCAGGAATGTGTCTCATTTAGAAAAGGTGGAACGTGGATATGAAAATATGGATCATTTTACTGTAAACTTCAGCCCTGAACGAAGAGCAATACTCAGCATAGATTTTACCAAGGGTAAACCAACTCTAATCTTAACTTGGTTTTTTTTTTGTATTTCTTTATAGAAGATTCCTCTCTCTGTTATTATAGATGGTGATGACAATGAGGAAGAATTAACAGGTACTGTTAATCCAGAGACTCAGACATCTTCAGTGGCTACTCCTGCCCCAACCCAGCAGAGACAAACCCCTGCACCGAACCCTCCACCCATGGCAGCTTTAGGGGCTATGCCCATCCCAACCCTGCAGAGACAAACCCCTGTACCAAACCCTCCACCAATGGCAACTGATACCTCCCAGATGTCATCAAAACCTAGTCAATCAGTGAACACCAACTCAGCAGAGAGCACACCCTTATTTACACCCACTCCAGACATCAGTCTCAACTCTTCCACAGACGCACCTGCTCAGGTAAAATTCTGTCTCCCTTACTCTCATCCATATTTGTGATGCCTTGGAATTATGATCATTTAACACTATTTTTTTAGGATTGGTCTGTAAATGTTTTTAACTTCAGTTAGTGAAAGACACAGAAAAACATCTGAGGACGTACAGTGGCTGCAGTATTGGGATCAGCTTATATTTAGCTGAGATTACCTTATGATTCAAACTAACATGGCAATTTATAACTATTTTATGTTTTGTTGAATCCTAGTGAGGTAGTGGTGGACCTTCATGCTTATACTTTTTTTCTAAAAACCAGACAGTACAAGACCATGGACACCAAAATATGGACACTTTCGTAGTTTATTTTCCTGTGTTTTATATTATGGGACTTAAAATTAGTCAAGTTATACTTTTTGTAAAACACAGTAGAACATGTGCTGACAAATTCAGTTAATTATATTGCAGAAATATAAATTTTAAGTTTTCTTACAGAATTCAATATGTTGAAAAGTGAAAATGTTAGCCATGTCAGATGTAGGACATTCATGAAAAGAAAGATTTTACTTTTTCAGTATTACCAACTTTTACATATCTTATTTGGTTCTTTATTTATTTCACTCACTAAAGAGAAATTGAGACAAATAAAATGCAACTCCCTGCCTGGGAAGAGTGTAACAATCTTTTCTACAAATCTACAGATCATGTCTTTTGGCCACTTTATTGGCCACAAGAGATTTCATGAATGTCACAATGTCATTCTCATATATGCATTGGTAAATTCAGTTACTTATATAATCAGAAACCAGAAAGAATTGTGTAATAACTGAAAGTGTCCTGAGAAATACAACTAAACAGAATTAAAGAACAATATAAACACTGTCCGTCCAGAGGCTGTCCATCATTCACTCTAAAAAATGCTGGGTTAAATACAACCCAGCGCTGGGTAAAATATGGACAAACCCAGCTATTGGGTTGTTTTGACCCAGCGGTTGGGTTACTACCCAGGTTGGATTAAACATTTACCTCAACTGCTGGGTCAAAACAACCCAATTGCTGGGTTTGTCCATATTTCACCCATTTTTTTGAGTGTTAAAATGGGATTTAAAAAATGGGGAATAGGCTTTGTAGCAATCTGAGCTGCTAGTCAAAACTTAAAAGTTTTTGTCCCAAGAGCTATGAGGACAAAACTTGAATAATCCTGAATTATGAGTGACAATCACAAAACACCTAAATGCCAAACTCTAACCTGCCCCGTCTCTACCCTTTTAGTCATTTCAAATCTATTTCATATAGATGCTGTATTCTGTTATGATCACAAATCACTATGAAAACCCTTTTGCTCTGTCTTACTGTTTCCATTTATCTGTCCAGCCATCACCATCGGTCTCTTTCCATCTCACTTTCTCCTCCTTTTCCATATCTTTAGGCAACGGCCGGTCCCAACCAGACATCTGAGAATGGCCCACACCACGTTTTCTCTTTTTCCTGGTTAAATACGCCAAAATAATACCAGACTATATTAGTAAACCTGCAACATCACAGTGACGTTCCAGAAAACCTATTGTACTTCATAACTAGGCTAATATTTTGTTAATTTGACAGTCATATACATTTAATAGCAAGGTAGAAATTGGAAAAGATAAAAAAAAAAAAAAACTTAAATATTAATTGATAATATTTTCTGAAGTAGTTGACTAAAATGCAAAATAAAGGATAATGAACGTGTATAGCCTAAATCTGGTCTTTTGTATATATTAATACTGAGGAGATGCCTGTTTATGAATAACTTAAGAAAGATAAAGGAAAAGGCCTACTACAAAAAGACAATAAACTAAGTATTCAGAACTCTGAACATTGTCACTTTAGAAATGAAAATAAAAACATATGCGTATACATATCATGTAAAGCATGTATTATTTTCCTAAATCGTCCATAATCTTGCGGTTGTTGCTCGCGCGCTGGGCCAGTTGTTCGGCTCGCGCCATCTGCAGCACCTCGCGCAACAGGTGAAAAGTCAGATCCAGCGAAATTGGCGGATCCTCCGACCGGCGCTCCCGCTCCTCGAGGCTGTTCATGATCCCGTTACCGACACGACCGAGCTGCGTGAGCTGCAGCTGAAGCGCCTCAGAGCGTGACGGCGATCTCCGGTCGGCGTTGTCCAGCCTGATGAAGTACTCCTCTCCTAAGCGCATCAGAACCGGCAGCTGCGTGTTCGTGTGTCCCGGAGCCGATCCAGAAAGCGAGACGAAGACACCGAGACACACAGCAGCGAGCAGCACGTGCAGCTTCATTGAGGCAAACTCCCTTGTAATCTGAATAAACGTATAGCCTATAATAGGCGATAAAAACGTGTCCAGGACTTATTTTTTTTTCTTTCTCTTTTTATTCTTTAAAGTGCTCATGACAACTTCTATAGGCTTAGGCTAATACTTTCTCTATAGGTCCATATAACTATGGGTTCCAAAAGTCTGAGACTACTAGAAAATGCTTATCCCCCGGTTTCACAAACAAGGTTTAGGCCTAATCCCAGACTAAAATGTAAATTTGAGCTGTTTCAACTGAAAGAAACTTGCACTAAGGCCTAACTGATCTTAAAAGATGCCCTTGTTTTGTCTCAAGATGCACACCAGTATTGTTTTTTTCTAAGGCATGTTTAAATATGCCAAAATAATATCAGACTAAGTTAGTAAACCTGCAACATCACAGTACGTTCCAGAAAAGTACTTCATAACTAATATTTTGTTACTTTGACACTACAGTCATAAATATGCATTCAATATCAAAGTAGGAATTTGGCGAGATGAAAACACAACTGTTAGGCCTAAATATTCATTGATAATATTTTCTGACTAAAGTAGCTGACTAAAATGGAAAATAAAGGATTATTAATACGTGTATAAGTCTTGTCTTTTGTATATGTTCCTACTGAGGATATGCCTGTTTCTGAATAAATTAAAAGATGAAGGAAAAGGCCTACAAGAACTAAAAGATTATTCACATGTAAACCCTAAACATGTCTAACGCCACTTTAGCAAGAAACATAAAATCATATTTTAATACGTTATACATATAATGTATTTGTGTAAGACGTGTATTATTTTCCTAAATCGTCCATAATCTTGCGGTTGTTGCTCGCGCGCTGGGCCAGTTGTTCGGCTCGCGCCATCTGCAGCACCTCGCGCAACAGGTGAAAAGTCAGATCCAGCGAAATTGGCGGATCCTCCGACCGGCGCTCCCGCTCCTCGAGGCTGTTCATGATCCCGTTACCGACACGACCGAGCTGCGTGAGCTGCAGCTGAAGCGCCTCAGAGCGTGACGGCGATCTCCGGTCGGCGTTGTCCAGCCTGATGAAGTACTCCTCTCCTAAGCGCATCAGAACCGGCAGCTGCGTGTTCGTGTGTCCCGGAGCCGATCCAGAAAGCGAGACGAAGACACCGAGACACACAGCAGCGAGCAGCACGTGCAGCTTCATTGAGGCAAACTCCCTTGTAATCTGAATAAACGTATAGCCTATAATAGGCGATAAAAACGTGTCCAGGACTTATTTTTTTTTCTTTCTCTTTTTATTCTTTAAAGTGCTCATGACAACTTCTATAGGCTTAGGCTAATACTTTCTCTATAGGTCCATATAACTATGGGTTCCAAAAGTCTGAGACTACTAGAAAATGCTTATCCCCCGGTTTCACAAACAAGGTTTAGGCCTAATCCCAGACTAAAATGTAAATTTGAGCTGTTTCAACTGAAAGAAACTTGCACTAAGGCCTAACTGATCTTAAAAGATGCCCTTGTTTTGTCTCAAGATGCACACCAGTATTGTTTTTTTCTAAGGCATGTTTATAAAAACTACTTAAATGTCCTAATTGAACTATTGCCTAATCCTGGTTTAACCTAAGACCTGTCTGTGAAACCAGACCTATATTTCACATCTTTTTTAGTATGATCTAAAAATATTCTGTTCCATTTGACATGTATTTTTATTGACATACGGGCAGTTACACCGGCTAGTCATCCTGTTACGCTTTTATGTTTAATGCATTTTTTTTTTTTTGCAGTGTAAATTTTCACGTCTTAACTTTTCAAAATTCTGTTGGCTACATTATTTCTGGCTTTAAGAAAAAAAGTGCATGGGCTCAGACTTTTGATTCGATTTCATTACAAACTATTATTTCAGTTAATTATCTAACACTTTCTTACGCAGCACATTAACATAGCTAAAGTGAACATTTATGTCATTTTGTAAAAGGCATTATTTGAGTTCATGCTTACCTCAGTCGGTGTCCTCCGGAAATGACCTCGTTTGTGAGAGTCGGTTGTCGGTGCAGCTCGAGCATCGGTGGGGTTTATTTATATGAGGCGAAGAGCATCTTATTTCTGAGATGACAGAATCGCCGGAATGAGTCATGGAATAATTGGCTGCGGTTCGAGTAAATCCAAAATGAAAATGCTCTTGCATTCCGTCGTGTGTTAAGTTCACGCTGTAGATTTAATCAAGAGACAGTCTCTTCTGAATTAACCGGGACTTTGTTCATTCGTGTTAATGAATTGAATCCAACCGCCGGTAATTGAGAGACTCTGCAGATGACGCACTGACGCGCCGAGGGAGAGCAGCGCAGCTCCACCTGCTCAAGTCATTCAGCACCGATGCGCGCGCAAGAGCAATCCATACAGACTACGGGGTCAAAGGGCCTCCCACGCTGGATCAGCTGGTTTACATCTTACGCTAAATAATCACCAGCATGGACAAAATGCATTCATCCATTTTTTTTTCAAATTGCCTGTCGTGGGAATGCTGGAGCACAAACATGAATGCCCAGCAGGAGCGACTAGTCTAGAAACGGGACAGTTCCTGAGTCACCACCCTGCATCATACTAATAATGTATTCATGTGTGTGCCTTATTTAGGAGGAACAGTTGCTTTTTCCTTTAGTAAAATGTTAGCCTGTAGGGAAATGTGAACTTATACGCAATTTTATAAATAGGCTTCTTTTACAGGTTTTTTAGCTAAGAAAATTTTTATTCTAAACGTTTTATTAATATTCCTATTAAAGGGATAGTTCACCCATAAATGAAAATTCTGTCATTTATTCACCATTTGTTGCACCCTGTAGGCCTATGAATTTATTTCTGCTGAACTCAAAAGAAGATATGTTGAATAATATGGCTAAACAGTTTTTGGTCCCCATGACTTTCGTAATTTTCTATACTAAGTCAGTGGGGACTACCAACAGTCTTAAAATATCTTGTTTTGTGTTCAACAGAAAAAAAGAAACTCATGTTTGGAACTTGTAAATTGGCAGAATTTTCATTTTTGGGTGAATTTTCGCTGTATGAAAACATTATTAATGAATGTTCTCTGAACTTTCAAAATGTCCAGTTTGTTTGTTTGTATATTTCCAATTTTTCTTGGTTATAAGGGAACATTCGTTTTTCATTTTTCAAACATTATGGGAACGTTACTTTTGAATGTTCTCTAAACATTCTGAAACAAGTAGGCCTAACATTTAAAAAAATGTTAGATGAACATCCAACTAAAACATTTCAGAAAATGATTAGCCTAGTTGCTTTCATTTTTATACAAAGTGTTTGTGCTTCTGATGGTTTCTGTTATATTATTCTGGTATAATTACTAACAGATTTAATAATTATGTTAAAGTGGTTCAGCTGTTAGAAAAAAGTGTTCTGTTAAAATCAATTAACACAAACCTGTTTCAGGTTTCAACACAGTTCAACACAACACTATTAATTAATTATGACGCATGTCAGCACACTATAACACAGCAGGGACATGCTTTATGCATAATTTCATGACTTGTAATATGTATAAATAAATAGGCTACATTTTTAAATTTTCTTTTTCTGTAGTATGTTTTCAAGCACCCTGCTGGAGTGAGACAAATCGTACAAATATAAATTTTCTTTATATTCATTATGCATTTTATACATTTTAGTTGTTTTATTTCTTGGGTTCCAAACACCTAGGACTTGTATTGTATTTTTTTTTTGATGGTTCTGTAGCTGTTGAATGACCAAGTGAACAACACAAGGCAATTCAAGTGTAAGCTATCATTGTGACAGCTTAACCCATATAGTGACAATGTGCCCCGCTACAGAAACTGTCATTCAAAAATAGTGTGTGAGAAAAAAGTCCCGACTATGTATAAATAGATTAGATATAGGCTATATGAGCAGATATTTCTATTTCAGACTTTTACTAGAATAAACAGTCATGTTTCCGACCCAGTCATGAGTGCATACCTGTCAGCAGGTGGCAGATGGACTGTATGAACTGTACGTGTCCGGAGGCGCAAGCAGAATTCATGGCAGGCGGTGTTTAAAACGTTCAGATTACACCCTTAATGTATTAAAGGGGTCATAGGATGCCCATTTTCCACAAGTTGATATGATTCTTTAGGGTCTTAATGAAAAGTCTGTAAGATAGTTTGGTTAAAATTTCTCAATGTTAGTGTAAAAAAAACACCTTTTTTTACCCTGTCAAAAACAGCTCTTTTCAGATCAAGCCGTTTTTGTAACATTTCCCTTTAAATGTTAATGAGCCCTGCTGCCCCCGCCCCTCTCTTCTGAGCTGCTCTCAGAGAGACTGTTTACTTTAGCCGCATTCATAGTGAAACTTGCTAATTAGCACATTATTAGGAAAGGCCATTTGCAAAGTTTCATTACAAAACATTATACTCACTTCTTCTGTAGATGAGGCTGGATCATGAATGATTCGCTCGAACATAGACGCATGAATGTAGATCGCGGGCGCATTCCCTTCTGAAACAATGTAATTCACTGCTAGTTCAGCGGCTCAGATGTCGGGAGTAAATGACGTCCACTATGTTCATTATTACATCCAACAACAGAACACCTCAATCGCTTGTTAGGAGTCATTCTTGTCTACATCTGCTCCGGCGGTGAAACAATGGCGGACTGATGACAGCTCACTCAGGGCGGGTCTGAGGTAAGACACCAGTCCAGTCTGTGCTGAAACGCTACTGTCAATCAAACTATCATGGGAGGGGCCTGTCTGTGGGAGCTCACACAGACAGGCATCTGAGATCGGCTTGATTTGAGAAAGGGGAAAACATTTAACCAGATTTTTAAAAAACTACTGGGTGGATTTTTATCATTATAGGGTGGTTGTGTACATTTCTGTTCAAACAACTTGTAAAAGTGCATGTAGCATCCTATGACCCCTTTAAGTGTGTTAGTTTTATTGTGTGCACTTTCGTATTTCTATGTGTATAGGTTATGCAAGTTGGCTCTTCTCAATGCCCTGAAAGTTGTAAACAGAGACCAGTTGTAGACAGGACAGTTTACCAAAATAAAATTCTGACATCCTCATGTTCTTCCAAACCTGGATGACTTTCTTTCTTATGAGGAATAAAAATAAGATATTAGGCAGAATGACAGCCTCAGTCTCCATTCAATTTAATTGCTGCTTCTTTCAGAATGGTGACTGATTTCTCCAGCCAGACATCTCGCTTTTTTCTGCAAATAGTCCTAGGACATTAAAACAAGTGAAACATTTTTTTTTGAATGCCATGTGTTTTATAGGTGAAGATCCCCTGCTCATTCTCAAGCATACTCCCACACTTACAACTGAGGTAAAATATTTCAGTGATTTTTCTCTGAATAAATGGACTCTACCATGTGTGAGCGGTTTTGTGTGTGTAGTTTCTACAGGTGAAGCTCATATGTGTGAACGGAAAACAGATTATGCATTTGAAGTAAGTGCACGACATAGGCCTAGTTTTGCTTTCACAACGAAACACACAGCGTCACACACGGCGGGCTAGAGTGCGGAACGGTCGGCGGTGCGAAGTTGATGTATTTCCTCAGCGACCAGCACGGATCAGCTCTAGGCATGACGAAGCGGATATCGTCCTCTTTTGGAAGGCTAAACAAAGTAGTTTCGTTTTCACAACAAAAAACACAGCGTCTTCACGACATGGCGGCAGCAACAATACTACAGGGAGAACAAAAGTTACACCTTCTTTCTTTGCGTGAACATTTGGGCGGCTTTATGCAAATCTTCCCACATCGTGACGTAGACATGTGGGGGCGTGTTAGAACGAGCCGTTTTAGGTAGGCGTGGTTGACTCTTAACTTTTATAAAGAATATCTCTTTGTATTTGAGACTTTAGTCTTTACAACTTTACAGATCTTCTTTATGCACCAAGAGCTTGTAACACTTCAAAGAGAAAGGAAAAATTGAAATCTCATCATATGACCCCTTTAATATTCGATAGTTATGCATTGTGAAATATAGTTTCACCACTTGTTTATAACTTTTTAAAACAGTGTTAAATATTTTATTTTATGCCATGTTACATGATTTACAGTTATTTATAGTGAAAAAAATGTTTCTTAATCAATGTCAGTCAGTCAGTATAATTGTGAGTCTGAATATCCAGGTATTACATCATAACGTCAAAGATCTTTATGCTAAAATAATTATAAATATTATTATTATTGTGGTTATCCTTTTCATTCTTCTTGTTCTGTTTCAGATGGCTTGTTCAAATATCAGATATGGAGCTGGAGTTACCAGAGAAATTGGCGTGGTTAAGGAATATTTCACCTGAAAATTAAATTATATCATCATTTACTCACCCTTATTTTGTTCATGTTTTTGTATGTGCTCCACTTGCAGGCACTGAACTGATTAAGTAGACTCTATTATTGCTCATCATATTGCATATTGCTCAGAAAGTGCCTTTTCAGTTGATTTCAGTTTGGCTTTGAAGTTGTTGGTTGTGAAGTTTGCTGTTTTGGCTGATATAATCAGATTTGCAGAATATGGGAGCACGTAATGTGTGTCTGATGACGGATAGGACCTTGTCTCAGCTACCACCGGTTGGAGACAAAACATGGAGTCAAATACAAGATCTATGAAGATGTGCGAGTAGAACCAACAGACAAAAGGTGAAACTATGGCACAGAATAAGTGCGGATTGTTGTCAGTTTTAGTTGATGTCCGTATAAGCGTCTGAGAGTGTGAAAGAAGTGTGTGAGAGCAGCAACCTTTTCTCTTTACAGCTTTAAAGCAGCGATTGATTTAGCCAAAAAAGGACATTTTGATGTGGATGTTACTGTGGGCGGGGGCTCTGTGATTGACACCTGTAAAGCAGCCAATCTCTATGCATCTCATCCAGAGGCAGAATTTCTAGACTTTGCCAATGCACCAATCGGAAAAGGAAAACCCATCACAGCCACATTGAAGCCACTAATCGCTGGTACAAAGACAAACTCAATATGACTTTTTCTTTTTTCACTTTCTGTCTCTCAGTATTAACAACCATTAACCATAGACCAACCATTTAAAAAGTAGTGCAGATATGCTGATACATTATACACATACGTTTTTAAATGTACATTTTGTGTGCCTGTGTATGTGTAAGTTCCTACTATGGCTGGAACGGTGAGTGAAACCACAGGAGTGGCGATCTTTGACTTTGAGGACCTGAAGGCCAAAACTGGTTCGCAGAAACATTTTATCCATTAACATTTTATTACAGTTCTCCA